GATGATGATGATGATGATGATGATAATAGATATTTAAATAGCGCTTATTGAGATCTGCTCTAAGTGTAGAGTAACAAAAGTAAGAGCTAAAAAGAAAGTTCTTAGCGATAACAATGCAGAGAACAATGATAAAAAATTAAATAAATAGAATAAAATTTCATCAACAGTCACTTAAGTCCTTATTCCCTACACCCCTTCAATTATAAAATTCACTGTCTGCAGCACACCTCAATCCATCCCCAGTGATGAAGAAACTGCTGGGCCTCCGGTAAGCACCAAACTTTGGATGAAAAAGATTTGTTTTGTGTCTTGACCCTGCGGTACTTTTCATCAATGGGCGACTTTATGATGTTGCTAGGTAAGAGAATAAAATACAGGGAGTAAAGTAAAATGAGATCAGTGGGACTTGAAAATATATTAAGAGAATTTATAACTCTTTTGAGGGAAGATGGGGAGAAAATAAACATAAGAAAAACAGGAAAGATGGGAAGAGAAGGGAAGTTGTTGTTGTTGTTGTTGTTTTTATCTTCAGAAGGTCTCAGTTTAACATTTTTAGTTAGTAAACCTTCCAAAGAGATTCAGTGGTGTACAGAATTTTTGAAAACCATGACATTTGCTTGCCGTTGGCAGGGCACAGTAAACTGTTGTCCATTAGGCAGCGATTTAATCTGGTGCCAAACGGTGGATAAACTAACCATTGGATAAATTGGATAAATTGGACAAATTGGATGGAGTAGTGTGTGCGCTTTTCTAGTGGATTAGTGTTGTCTATCCATTGAGCAACCTGATAATTATCATCTGCGTGCTTCACACACAGTGAACAAAGTGAATGAGATGAAATCATTCCCAAACTGAGGAAGCACTGCAATTCACCAAGAATATTTTGATTTACAGGTCTATGGTTCATTGATTCATCAAACTCGAATCTTTCCTTAAAATATCACCTTCTACCATCTGTCCCGCCCCCACCACAACCCCTTTGCGGAACGAGCAAGACTCCATGTAAAACAAGCAAGCCCTATTGTTTATAACAGAAGTACAGAACTACAAGAAAAACTAAGACAAACTTTAAAAACCATACGTAAATGTCCATCATATAGACACCCTCCCTAACTTAATAAGCACTAAAATTATTTTACTTTGCAAGTGTCAATAGCGTTTCGATTGCCTGTCTTGCTGTTTCACGATCGTGTTCCTTACAAAGAGACTGCAGGGATGAAATCAACGCATGTTCCCTCTCTCCTTCACCCAGCTTGCTACCACCCTGTATAACGCAAGGTTTAAAACGAAAATAAATACACGGCTCTCTTTAAAAATAAAAACATCACATTCCCTTACTACATAATATACACGGCTACGACAAAGAAATGGAAAACGAAACATTTCCTCACAGAGCTTGTGGCCATGTTTATCTGTGAATCAGCGCATTATACGTAGTCTTACACCAAGTACTTACCGTATTCTTCTCCTGTGGTAGAGTTTTACACGACGTAGAAATTTGCGATAGCTGTAGTCCGCTGCTTTTGAGCAGGCTCGCGTCAGACTTTCAACAGAAAAAAGAGTACTATCCTCGTGTGCAATATTTATTTGTCGTTATTTTTCGCTTTGATTCCTTGACATGCAAAAATGTTGCGTTAAACACTTATATTAGAAACAAAAATGGACAAAAGACCGTTATTTCTTGGAAAAGGTCGAGGTAGAGGCCGCGGAAATGAAGAAAAAGGTACCAATCCGGCGGCAGGGCAATCTGGTGGCCGCGGACATTTGTTACCCGCGAAATGGGGAAATTCCAGAAAAGCTGAAAATGGCGGTGCAAATTCACCCAAGGTGCCTGAAGCTTCCAAGGAGAGGCAGGAAAAGGCAAATAAAATAAAGGAGTCTGCGAAGAGATACTTGGAAAGAGTGGACGACGAATTTGAAGACTCCTCAGAGGACGAAGAAATTAATGACAGTGAAATATTGAACAACACGTTGAAGAACTACAGAAATACCTCACAAGGTATTATTAATTAATTTTGAAAGATGAGTGGTTTACAAGATCAAATAAGTACACGTTTAGTCGAGAAAACACTACTGGAGTTAACTAGTAATTTGTTGCCCCGTCCCCTCCCCTCAGCTTCACCTAGCTGATACCATTTTGCAGTCGAACCTCTCCACAATGGTCTCCCTGGGGACAGAGGAAAGTGGCCGTTGTAGAGAGGTTACCCGCTTTTGGGGGGTACAACATTCTTATATTTTTCAAAACATGCTTATTGTACCAATATCAATAAATATGCATGATCAAAATAATATATCAAGAACAGAGAAACTAAAAAGGAACAGAGACAAACGACACACAGTACAGATCATGTCGAGAGATTTTTTTTGGCAGTTGGAATGTATGTATGTACAGTCTTGCTGGGACACAAAAAATGGCTGTTATAGAGAGGCGGCCGTTAGTGGCTTCGACTGTACTTATACCGCAATTGACCAGCACTTAACTTCTCTTTACTTATCAGGACATTGCTATCTTGTTTGCAGACAGTGAAGAAGGCCTAAACAAAACTGCTCAGTATTTAATAGACTCCTGCAAACCTGGATCTAGTGTGTGTTTAATATGCATTGCTTCTATCAAGCACGTTGATGCAGTAAGTACATGTATGTCGTGTCAAAGACCTCCAGTCCTCTTGAATTTCAGGGAGTCTTCTTGATGACGGCCAATTTTCGTGGTCTCCTGGAACAGCTGTCAAATCTCCTGATTTCTCTTGTATAAAAATGTGTTTCACTGCTTATTTTTTGTGTAATTTTAGATTATTCAAACTCAGAATTGAAGGACAAAAAATGCAAACAGAAAACCTAACTGAAGAGTTACAAAACTAGCATAGTGAGTGGGCAAGATGAACCAAATCCTGTGCTGTGATTGGCTACTTGAGCGGGCAAGATGGTGCTATCTTGCTTACCTGGGACCACCCGCTGTGTTCTGCAAGAAAAAATTTTGCCAAAAGCCTGTGTCCCATAAGAAATTAGTGTTCTTTGTCCACATAATAAATCCTTTTTTTTACCAAGCTTGTATGGTTAAGATGGCTGGATATTGGCCTCATTCTTTTTCACAAGTTTGTAGACCTTCACTCCATCTTGGTCTCCCTAGACATTCATTATGTGTCAGGATATAAATTTTGGAATTTTCTCATTTCAGGTATGGAATTGTAGCCAATGTTTCTCAACTCTTCACCTTCAATGTATTCAGAAATGGGCCAGGGATGGTGCTGCATATAACCTCCTGTCCTCTGATAACATATCTCAAGCTGATCTTCCATGGTACTGGTATGTATGACATCTTTCTTGACCTACAGTATATTAGAATAATTCATT